TTCTTCTGTACTCCTAACACTGGATATTCAAATCGATAGGCAGAAATTGATATCTTAGTTTTGATTTTATATTTCTTTTGTAAATTGGTATTTAAAAATAATTTATTAAAATTTTTTTCAATTATAGTTGACATACAATACTATATTAGTTTAAGGTATACAACATAGTAATCAGACATTTATGTAACTTACAAAGTGATCACCCTGATAAACCTAGTACCCACCCAACCCCATATATAGTTATTACAGTATTACTGCCTATATTTCCTATGCTGTACTTTATAACCCTTTGACTGTTTTATGACTGCCAATTTGTACTACTTAATCCCTTCCCCCTTTTTATTTATCTCTCCTAACTCCCTCTCATCTGTCAACTATCAATTTGTTCTCTATCTATGAGGCTTGTTTCTCTTTTGTCTGGTTGCTTTTTAGATTCTACATATAAGTAATGACATATGGTATTTGTTTTTCTCTGACTTAGCAAAATAACCTCTAGGTCATCCATGTTGTCGCACATTAGAGATTTCATTCTATTTTATTGTTGAGTAATACACCATTGTATATATGTACCATCTCTTTATCCAGTCATCAGTTGATGAACAGTTAGGTTGCTTCCATGTTTTGGCTATTGTAAGCAATGTTTCAGTGAACACAGGGATATGTATATCTTTTCAAATTGGTGTTTTAGATTTCTTTAGATAAGTATCCAAAAGTGGGATTGCTGGGTCATATAGTAGTTCTGTTTTTAATTTATTGAAGAGACTGGCTATACCCCATTGTGCAGTCTTGACTTCTTTGTCATAGATAGTTGACCATATAGGTATGGGTTTATTTCTGGACTATTTATTCTGGTGGATTGATCCATGTGTCTCTTTTTATGCCAGTGCATGCTATTTTGATTACTATAGCCTTGTAGTGTATGTAGTTTGATGTCTGATTTTGTGGTGCCTCAAACTTTGTTGCTCTTTCTCGATTGCTTTGGGTATTTGGGGTCTTTTTTTGTTTTCTCTAAATGTTAGGATTATTTGTTCTAGTTCTGTGGAAAATGCTGTTGGTATTTTTATAGGGATTTCATTGAATCTGTAGATTGCTTTGGGTTGTATGGACATTTTAATGATGTTGATTCTTCCTACCCATGAGCACTTTATATGCTCATTTATATGTATCTTCTTTTTCTTCTTGAGTGTCTTACAGTTTTCTGAGTACAAGTCTTACACTTCTCTGGTTAAATTTATTGATTGGTGTTATTTTTTTGAGACAATTGTAAATGGGATTTTTTAAAATTTCTTTTTTTATAGTTTGCTATTGGTACATAAAAATGCAACTAACTTTTGAATATTAATTTTGTAGCCTTCTACTTTACTGGATTCCTTTATTCTAGTTTTTTGATGGACTCTTCAGGGATCTTTATGTATGAAGTGGGGCAAAAGTAGGTTTACAGTGTGAATACACAAAGCATAGAGTTTATTCTTATAGTATTATTCATTACTTGTATTATATTCCATGTGAACAGCTGTAAACCTACTTTTTAAAAAATATTTTATTTTTAGAGAGGGGGATGGGAGGAGGAAAGAGGGAGAGAAACATTGATGTGAGAGAGAAACATTGATCAATTGCCTCTACCTGGGGATTGGGCCTACCACCTAGGCATGTACCCTAACTGGGAATTGAACCGGAGACCTTTTGCTTTGTGGGAGGATGCCCAATCAACTGAGCCATGCTGGCCAGGGCTGTAAATGTACTTTTGCCCCAACCTGTATAGTGTCATGTCATCTGCAAATAATGACAGTTTTATTACTTCTTTCCAGTTGGAATGGCCTTTTATTTCTTCTTGTCTGTTTGCTGGTTTTTAGGTCTCTCAGTATTATGTTGAATAAAAATGCTGAAACCAGACATCTTTGTCATGTTTTTTAATCTTAAAAAAAAAAAAAGCGTTCAGCTTTGTATTGTTGAGTATAATGATAGTTAGCTGTGGGTTTGTCATATATGGTCTTTATTATGGTGAGGTTTCCTTTATCCCAACTTTGCTGAGGTGTTTTTTTTTTTTTATCATAAATGTTTTCTGGATTTTGTCAAATACGTTTTCTGCATCTATTGATATGATTATATGATTTTCATTCATTTTTTTAATGTGTATCTCGTTAATGATGTGTTGATATTGGACCAACCTTGTATTCTAGGAAGAAAATCCCACTCGATTATGGTGTATGATCTTTTTAATGTATTGCTGAATTCAGTTTGCTAGTATTTTGTTGAGGATTTTTGCATCTATGTTCATCAGGGATATTGGCCTATAACTTTTTTCTTGTAATGTTTTTGTCTGGCTTTGGAATGAGGGCCTTATAAAATGAGCTTAGGAGCCTTTCCTCCTCTTAAATTTTTTGGAATAGTTTGAGAAGGATAGATGTTAATTCATCATTGAATTTTTTTTTTAAAATTCCCATGTGAAATCATCTGGTCCGCATCTTAGGTTTGTTGGGAGTTTTTTCATCACTGATATTATTTCATTAGTAGTTATTGGTCTGTTCAGATTTTCTGTTTTTTGTTTTTAAATTTTTTTCAATCTCGGAAGATTGTGAGTTTCTGAAAATTTATTCATTTCTTCCAGGTTGTCCTGTAAATTGCTGTTTTGAATTTTTTGCTAATTTTATTGATATGGCTGTGTAATTTTGTAATTTATGTTTTAACTTAGTTCCAAGTGTCCTTCTCTTCCATCACTCTCTATCCTGAAAATGCAAAGTGCAGAGGCTGTTAAGTCTGGTGGTCTCATTTTAAGGTTTCTGTCTTTGGAGTGTTGCTTAGAAAGACATTTTCTAATCTCAAGATTAAAAAAAAATTGGATTAATAAGTGGGTTTAAATAAAATTGTTAATGTGTGGAATTCATTTGATGTGAGATTTGTGGTAGGGAATTATTTTTTCCCCAAATGGCTAGCAAATTATGCCATCACTTACTGAGAATAAATACTTTCCTTACCCACTTAAAATGTCACCTATAATGTAGAAAATTAAAAAAAAACTTTTAAAAAGGTTTAAAATGAAATACAGGATTATTAATTTAGTTTTATACGTATCTTGTGGGTTTACTCCTGTATTGTACTTACAGCAACACTTTTCCATTTCAAAGTAAAGTACTTGTTAAGTTTTTTCGGTGGCATAATACAGTATTAAAAAACGTCTGGCATATTGTACTTCAGGAGGCATCAGTTTTCTTGTATTGTTAGGAGAAGGGTGAGGACAGGAGGGGTGATAGTTTTGTTTTGACTGCTATGTATTGGGTTGGCCAAAAAGTCTGTTATGTTTTCCCCATATAACGGCTCTTGTAGGCGTTTAGTTGTCTTTAACTTCATTCAAAACAATTTTGTTAGATTGTATTGTGACAGCTGTCATATCACTGAACATTTACTAAAAACTTACCAAAATTGGTGAATTTTTTTGCAGCCATTTTAATATTGAGATGGAAGAAAATACCCAACATTTTACTCCCAAAAAGATTTGTGCAGTATATGGAGAAGGTACTGTGACTGACTGAACATGTCAAAAGTGTTTTTGCAAAGTTTTTGGTACTATTGAAATTTTGGCAATTTTTTTTTTTTTTTTTTGCTATGGTGCTGTCTTATGCATTGGAAGATGTTTAGTAGCACCCCTGGCCTCTATCCCCTAGAAGGCAATAGTGAGAGATTGCTGACATACTCAGATTATCCAAGTCAGTAAAGTTATTGGTGAAAATGAAAAATGTGTCTTTTTATTTTACGGAAAAAACCAAAGGGGCTTATTTGGCCATCCCAGTAAAAAGAGTGGATTAGGTATAGGAGACCAAAAACAAGCAGACAAAAACTAAAACCTGGAAGAAATCATCCATGGTTAAGAGCCTGGATGATTTATGGTTGGTGAAGGTAAGTGCCGCCTCATCAATAAGGAAAAAAAAAAGCAATTAAGAACATTGGCAGGAAAAGTTTATATAGGAAAATTATAGTCTAACTGAATCAATAAATTTTGGGTAAAATTTTGAGCAATTAGTAAGAGTGTAAGAAAAAACTGTTTCATCTAGACAATTTGAACAAATTTAATGGTATTAATTTACATTTCCTTGTCAGTGTTCAGTCACATTAGTTGATTCTGCAAGGATTAATCACACCAGCATAATTTTATAAGTAAATTAATGGTTTTTTTGTTTAAACTTTTTATTTTTAAGATTTTATTTTTAGAGAGAGGAAGGGATGAAGAAAGAATGGGAGAGAAACATCAGTGTGTGGTTGCCTCTTGCACGCCCCTACTGGGGTCCTGGCCTGCAACCCAGGCACGTGCCCTTACTGGTAATTGAACTGGTGACCCTTTGGTTTGCAGTGCGGTGCTCAGTCTACTGATCCACACCAACCAGGGTGGGTTTTTGGTTTTTTATAATTGATTTATATACGAAGTGCTAAAGGTCTAAGTGTAATTGTAGAAGAGAAATCAGTACTGTAAGCCATGATAATATGAAAGTAATACTAAAGGAAACAGTATTTGAGAGGTGGAACAAGTTTAGGATGCTTAATATCTTTATCTTTGATCCCCCTGAGTCCTTAGCTACTGCTGAACATGGAATTGAGGAGAAGGTGTTTGACTTAGAATTATTTTGCGTTAACCACTAAAACTAAAATCAAATGGTTAGAAATAGTTATTTATGAGAATTTTGACACTGAATGTGGTGGAAAACTTAGCTTTTAATTTTTATGTACAGTTTTTCATTTGTATGTACATTTTATACACTTCGAAATTTCCATATTTATGTATTAGAATACATAAATTAAACAAATTAAAAGTTAGTAATTCAATGCATGAAATCTAGACATTTAATAATACACTTTTTTGGTCATAGCGTTAGACTTAAACATTTTCTTTACTTTTTTTATTGGTGTTCATGTACAGTTGTCTTCATTTTCACTTCACTATATCCCTCCCCCATCTCCACCTCCCACCCTTGAACCTACCCCCTTTGGCTTTGTCCATGTGTCCTTTAAAAAATACGGAATGCTTCATGAATTTGCATGTTATCCTTGCACAGGGGCTATGCTAATCTTCTCTATCATTCCAGTTTTAGTGTATGTGCTGCCAAAGCGATCACAACTTAAACATTTTTCTGCCATTAATGGCTCATGAATCAATTTATGTGAACAGAGGGATACTAACATTATTTGATATTCTTTTATACCGAACACTCTATGAAGGTTGTTGTATCATTTAAATCTTGCAACCCTGTAAGAAGACTTCTTCATTTTATTAATACAAATGAACTAATTGAGTGTTTAGAGAGTTTAACTTTTTCCTCAAGGTCACATTGCTATTAAGTGAGTGGTAGGAATTTGAACTTAAGCTTTTCTGACTTCTAGGTCTTGTTTTTTTTTTACTGTATAACAGGTGGTTTCTTAAATTTGGCCTTCACTCTTGTCACCTGTCTACTCTTTTGTTTGTCAAAAAATTACTGCTGATGGTATAAAGACACTGTGCTTAGCTGCTGTTTGTGGTACCAAGAGAACGGATAAAAATCTGGCATTCCTATTTTCTTAGCTCAGTTAGTTTCATTGGAAATACATACCTACAACTTATGTAAAGAGAATATCAGTTAAATTTATATCTATAGTCAGACCAATTAGGATTAAAGGAGACGACACAAACTACTGATACCAAGAATGAGAAGTGATGTTACTGCAAACATTAAAATGAATATGGGCATGTTATATACAACTTTATGCCAAGAAATTGAACAACTTAGAATGAAATGAGCAAATTCTTCAAAGTTCAGAAAGCAGCTGAGCTCAAGAAATAAATAACTGCCTCGCAATATACTTATGAACTTGTGAAAATCCTTACAATAATGATTCCAGGTTCAGATGGCTTCACTGGTGAATTCTACATTACACGTAGGGGAAAAAACAATACCCATTCTACACAAATGCTTTTTTTAAAATCCTTACCTGAGGACATGCTTATTTTAGAAAGGGAGGGAGGGAGGAAGATAAAGAGGAAGAAAAACATCAGTGTGAAAGAGAAACATCAGTCGGTTGCCTCTCATACATGCCCCAATCAAGGACCGAACCTGTACAACCTTTGCATGTGCCCTGACTGGCAGCCGAACCTGTGACCTTTTGGTTTATGGGATGACACTCCAACCCAACTGAGCCACACTGGCCAGGGGTACACAAATGCTTTTATAAAATGGTTTTATTCTGTGAGACTAGTATTACCCTGATACTTAAACCAGAAAAGGCAATTATAAGAAAGCTGTAGAGCAATATTCCTCATGAACATATGTAAAATTTATAAATAAAAATTTATTAAATAAAAATGAAGACCATATTTAAGAGATATGAGCAAGTGGGATTTGTCCCAGCATTGCAAGATTGATTTCAAATTTGAAAATAGTGTAGATCACCATTATCATAACAGACTTAAATAAATATTTACAAAATTTGACAAAATTTATTTCTGGTAAAAAACTTTAGCACACTAGGAATGGAAGGAAACAAACCTGACGTGGGATGGCTGGGTCAAAAGGCAGATTCATTTAAAATTTTTTTGAGATAACTCCATACCACTTTCCATGGTGATTGGACCAGTCTTTATTCCCACCAACAGTGCAAAAGGGTCCCTGTTTCTCCACATCCTTGCCAGCACTTGTTTGTTGATTTATTGATGACTAATTCTATTTTTAATTTTTTAAGGAACTGCCATACTATTTTCCACAGCAGCTGGACCATTTTATATTTCCACCAACAATGCACAAGGGTTTTAATTTTTCCACATTGTCACCAACACTTACTTTGTTTATTCTTTTATATATATATTTTATTAATTATACTATTACAATTGTCCCATTTTCTGTCTCCCCTTTACTCCCCTCCACCCTGTACCCCCTCTCCCACTAGCATTCCCCCATCTTAGTTCATGTCTGTGGGTCATACATAGAAGTTCTTTGGCTTCTCCATTTTCCTATACTATTCTTAACCTTCCCCTGTCTATTTTGTACCTACCACTTATGCTACTTATTCTCTGTACCATTTCCCCCATTCTACCCCCTCTCCCTCCTCACTGATAACCCTCCATGTGAGCTCCATTTCTGTGAATCTGTTCTTCTTCTAGTTGTTTGCTTAGTTCATTTTTGTTTTTGTTTTTATATTCTTTTTAGGTTTGGTTGTTGATAGTTGTGAATTTGTTGTCATTTTACTTTCATATTTTTGATCTTCTTTTTCTTAGATAAATCCCTTTAACACTTCATATAATAAGGGCTTGGTGATGATGAACTCCTTTAACTTGACCTTATGTGGGAAGCACTTTATCTGCCCTTCCATTCTGAATGATTGCTTTGCTGGATAGAGTAATATTGGATGGAAGTCCTTGCCTTTCATGACTTCGAGTGACTGGGAACTGAACTGGCAACCCTTTGGTTCATGGGCTAGCACTCAGTACACTGAGCCACACCAGTCAGGGAAAATGTTTCATAGTTTTAACTGTAAAAACCTTTACTTTTTTTGTTAATTCCTAAGGGTTTTCTTTTTTGTTACTATGAATGAAATTGTTTTGTAACTTCCTTTTCAGATTGTTTATCGTTCATGTATAGAAATGTAATTGATTTTTTTTGTGCTGCTTTTATATCCTGCTACTTTGCTGAATTCATTTATTCCCACAGATTTATTTATTTGTGTAATCTTTAGGGTTTTCTGCACATAAGATTATTTCATCACGAAAAAGATAATTTTACTTCTTCATTTCCAGTTTGGATGTGTTTATTTCTTTTTATTGCCAAACTCTCTGGCCAGAGAACATCCAGTAAAATGTTGATAAGAAGTGGTGAAAGTGGTTATCTTTGCCTTTTTCTTGATTTTTTAAAAATACATTTTATTGATTATGCTATTATAGTTGTCCCATTTCCCCCCCTGCACTCCCCTCCATCTTGTACACCTCCTCTCACCCACATTCCCCCCCTTTAGTTCATGTCCATGGGTCATACATACACGTTCTTTGGCTTCTACATTTCCTATATTATTCTTCATCTCCCCCTGTCTATTTTCTACCTGCCATCTATTCTACTTACTCTCTGTACTTTTCCCCCTTTCTCCCCCTCCCCTGTTGATAACCCTCCATGTGATCTCCATTTCTGTGGTTCTATTCCTGTTCTAGTTGTTTGTTTAGTTTGCTTTTGTCTTTGTTATAGGTGTGGTTAATAATTGTGAGTTTGCTATCATTTTACTGTACATATTTTTTATCTTCTTTCCCTTAGATAAGTAAGTCCCTTTAACATTTCATAAAATAAGGGCTTGGTGATGATGAACTCCTTTAACTTGGCCTTATTTGAGAAGCACTTTATCTGCCCTTCCATTCTAAATCTTAGCTTTTCTGGGTAGAGCAATCTTGGATGTAGGTCCTTGCCTTTCATGACTTGGAATACTTCTTTTTCCAGCCCCTCTTGCTTGTAAGGTCTCTTTTGAGAAATCAGCTGACAATCTGATGGGAACTTCTTTTTAGGTAACTGCCTCCTTTTATGTTGCTTCTTCTAGGAATCTGTCCTTAATTTTAATCTTGGCTAATATAATTATGATGTGCCTTGGTATGTTCCTCCTTGGGTCCAACTTCTTTGGGACTCTCTGAGCTTCCTGGACTTCGTGGAAGTCTATTTCCTTTGCCAGAATGGGGAAGTTCTTCCTTAATTGTTCAAATAAGTTTTCCATTTGTTGCTCTTCCTCTTCCCCTTCTGGTACCCCTGTAATTTGGATGTTGGAACGTTTAAAGATGTCCTGGGGGTTCCTAAGCCTCTTCTCATCTTTTTGAATTCTTATTTCTTCATTCTGTTATGGTTGAATGTTTCTCTCTTCCTTGTGGTCCACACTTCCCATCTCCTTCCCATCTCTGTTGGTTCCCTGTACATTTTCCTTCACTTAGTGTAGCCTTCATGTTTCACCTAATTTGCAACCAAATTCAACTAATTCTGTGAGCATCCTGATTACCAGTGTTTTGAACTGTGCATCTGATAAGTTGGCTACCTCTTTGTTGCTTAGTTGTATATTTTCTGGAGCTTTGATCTGTTCTTTCATTTGAGCCATTTTTTTTGTCTTGATGCTCTTGTTATGTAGTGAGGGGCGGAGCCTTAGGTGTTCACCAGGGTGGGGCAACTCACGTCACTGGGTTGTGACACTGTGTGTGGGGCAGTGCTCCAAGAGGGAACAATAGCGCTTGCTCCGCTCCCTGCTGGATTTTAGTCACTTTTCCCGCTTCCCACAAGCAAAGTCGGCCCTCCTGGTGCTGATTCCCTGGTGGGTGGGTTTGTGTATGTTCTAGGAGCCTGTGGGTCCCTCCAGCGAACTCTCCTGTGAGGCTGGGAGTTTCCCCTGCTGCAGCCTCAACCCCCACAGGTGTTTTCAGTCAGTGGTTTGAGGCTTTATTTCCCTGAGCTGGAACCCTGGGTTGTGAGGTCTGTCTTGCTCCACAGTTGTTCCTCTCAGTTTATCTGTGCGCGAATGTGGGACTGCTTGCTCTACCAGACGCCGCCTTGCCAGGCAGCTGCAGCCTTGCCCACCCTGCTTCACAATCAGCTGCCTCGCTACCCTGGGACTTGCCACCCAGTCCTCTCCACCCTGGCTGCCCAACTCCACCCCTCCTGGTCTGGATGAATGTGTCTTCTTTAACTTCTTGGTTGTCAGATTTCTATAGAGTTTGATTTTCTGTCAGTTCTGGTGCTTTTTGTTTTTAAATTGTTGTTCTCCTCTTGGTTCTGCGATGAGACACAGTGTGTCTGCCTGTGCCTCCATCTTGGCTGGAAGTGAATCCTCTTTCTTGATCTTAAGGGGAAAGCTTTTACCCTCTCACCATCATGATGTTCACTTTGGGTTTTTCATACGTGGCTCATTATGTTGAGTTCGTTTCCATCTCTGCATAGTTTTTTGAATGTTTTTGTTATGAAAGGGTGTTTAATTTTGTCAAAAACTTTTTCTGCATCAACTGAGATGATCATGTAGTTTTTACCTTCATCTGTTGATGTGGAGTATTGTACTGATAATTTTTTTTTTTGCATGTTGAACCATCCTTGCATTCCAGGACTAAATCTCACTTGGTTATGGTGTCTGCTCTTTT